TATTATTTACATTTATCTATTTGAATGTGTGTATACGTGTGTGAGAGACAGTGAGAGAGAGAGAGAGGGAGAGAGAGAGAAAGAGAGAGCATGCCACAGTATGCCTGTAGAGGTCAGAGAACAACTTGTGGAGTTTCTCTCCTTCTACCATGCGGGTCTTAGTGGTCAAACTCAGGCCACCAGGCTTGGCAGCAAGGGCATTTACTTGCTGAGCCACTTTGCCAGCTCCAGATTTCTGGTTCTCCTAAGATTCTTATGACATTGAAATCCTAGGTCCCTAGGAGATAAAAATCAACTAGAGATGATAGGTTGGTAGGTGTGTCCTCCAGATGACCACACCCACCCTTTCGTTATTCTTGGAATCCAGGTTGCTCTGTACATCTGTCACCCTCTTGGCCCTGTGGTTATTTAAGCAACTTCCTTCTTTGACTGTTATTTTGTTTTGGGTTTTGGGAGACTTGAGTCTCCCGGAGCCCAGCTGCCTAGAGCTGCTGCTCCTGCTTCTCCTCCCAGGAGTGCTGGGATGACAGGCATGCACAATCTTGCCGAGTTTATGGAGAATCATTCTTACGATTTGGAAAGGGGTACCCAGGTAGAGCACATATAAAAGCCACATGGGCCAGCAGGGGGATTTGACTCATGGACACAGCCTAAGATGGCTTGTGTATTGGGGGTGACAAGCCCGTTGCATTTTTATGCACTCCCTTTTCCAGGGAAAGTGAAGCCAACCGGCATGGACCCTCCAGGTCCTCAGACTCTCAGATTCAGCCTTTCTTACAGCCACCCCAGCCACCCCAGCCACCCCAGCCACCCCAGCCACCCCAGCCAGAAATAAACCAAACTCCATGCTCGTTTTCTCTGGATCTTTTTATTGAACGGCAGACTTCATTAAGGGACCATTTGCTTGAAAATTCTTAAACACGTGAACTTTTTTTTTTTTTTTTTTTTTTTCACAAGACAGGACAGCAGCCAGAGGCCACACAAGGGTCACAAGTCCATCTTGCCACATGCAGAAGACGACACAGGGTTTTGTTGGTTTCCTTGTGTGTGCACTCATGTGTACGCATGAGCACACCAATGTGCATTGTCACATGTACAGGAAGGGCCAGAGCCTTCCATCCATGAAGGTTGAGCAAGACTTATGAACACAACCCAAAAAAGAGTGGCTGAGGACCCTGCTGGAGTATGGCTAATGTGATTGGCTTGGCCCCCTTGAAGGGTGGGGCAATCAAAATGGCTTTGCTGGCAGAACCCCAGCTTTCTGCTGTGGGAGGGACGGAGGGCTTGAGATGATGGGATTGGGGCGCTTGTCATTGTAAGGGGGCCTTTGGGGGCTTGGAGAAAAGGAGAGACCATTTGTTCTTACAGCTCAAGAAATGAGATCCGGTTGCAGACACTGGCTCCCATGTTCCTGCCCTAGTCAAGTCCCACACAACAACCCCCCCCCCCGCAATTCCTTGGACCCTTGCCTTGGCCTACTCAATAGCCACTGTGGTCTGTAGGTGACTTCCCTGTGAACAGAAGTAGAGCAAGCAGGAAGAAAGCCGGTGCTGGCCAGCCTCAACATGGGAGGCGAGATTCTGAGCAGGCCGCTGCCCCTATCAGTATGTGGCTACCGGCTACCGGCATCAACTGTGGGCATTATTGTGACTCCAAAAATGATCACAGAAGAGAGAGTATTAGTGGTGGCAGTTCAAAAAAAGGGGGACCCCATGCTTTCCTTCCCATCCAGGTGAGAATCCAGCAATGCTCTCTTCACTCATCCACCCATCCACTTACCATTCACACATCCATTCACCCCAAAACACAGGCTGGATGACCGCTGTGTGCCAACAGCAGACTGCAGAGAGCCATGAGTTCTGGTGTAGAAAAAGGGGACTCCTTGCCTTTTAGTTTGGACTCAAGTCAAATGGGCCTAAAGAGAAAAAGAATAGTCTCCTGGCACAACCTGTAACTACATTTGGCTCTTGGATGCCTGCTGGTCTTGGGGGGGGGAGGGGTCTCAAACCTTGGGGAATCCCAGAGGCTGGGAGCTGTGCTGTTGAGCTAGACCCTTGAGGCGGCGCTCTTTTGTGATGCAGCCCTGTCTATTCAGATGGAGCTTCGCTCAGGGAGGCAGGAGGTCCCTGAGTGGCTTGGAGCGCATCTAAGTGGAACAGAATTAGGCGGTCCCCACATTTCCTTCCACTGCTCTGTAACTGCAGCTGAGTGTCTTGGGCAATGCCTCTGTGGACTGAGATTTTCAGAACTGGTTTCTGTCTAATTGAGTTTTAGAAGAAAGTGGTCCAGCCGATTCTGGACTACCGGCCTACCTTGCCTTTCAAAACCAACTGAGGCCAACTGGACTCGGGCTCACTCTGAAGTTCACATGCCACCTCCTCCACACCCACCATGTCCAATGAGGGAGAGCCTGCCAGCTCTGGGCTGAGTGGAGGCAGACAGTAGGAGCCAGGCCTTTTGGGGATGGATGTGCAGGTGCAGGCTCTCCTCTTAGAAGCAGCTGGAGCCTTGTTTCCCCACAAAGCTGGATTATAGCTATCTGTGCCTTTTTATATTTTTTCTGGATTTATTTCTGGGGCAGAGACCTTTGGAGATCTTGACTAGGTTCACTTTATTTTAATGAGAAAAAAAGAGCCCTTTGGGAATGGCGCCATTTGGGGTTGCCTGGGCAGTGGGTGGCTGGCTTGTGGGGCGATCACTGAGTCTCTTTGAGGGCACAGGGTCTAGGGGAAGGGGCTGAAGCACCATGCCGTGGCCAACCACAGGTGGGACTTTGTGGTTGGCCCTTTGCTGGCCGGGGAAAGGGCAGCGTGCATCTCTTCCCTAAGTGGTCCTTGTTAGGCCACTGGGAACGGGTTGGATCAATGGCTGGCAGGGTCAGAAAAATTGCAAGGAACAGGCTTAGGAAATTGAATCCTGCTTTGACCCTCCTGCTTTGGTGCCTCCTGAGAAGGCTCCGCCCTATGATCTGAGGTCCCACTAGCTGTGCTCCAAGCCCTTCTCTATGAGCGAGGCCTGAATCTGGACCCAGAATGGTCAAGACACTTGTGCAGGTACCCACATGTGCACACAAGGCCATGTACATACACACACACACACACACACACACACACACACACACACACTAAGAAAGAATTGCTTTGAGTTTCCAGTCCCATTTTGTAGTAGTTCCAAGGCCCATTTGTGCATTATCCAGCCTCCCTGGGAATAGCTGCAATACTCTGGAGCCCCTTACCCATCATGCACTGCATTCCAGGAGCAGATCACCGACCTGATGAGAAAGGGCTTCATTGCTTTGAGTAGAAATGGACCAATTCATACTGAGTGGCTAATACTTTGGGTCACTTCCTTGCCCATGTTCTCCTGCTAGCTTTCAGATTACTTCAGGACCTTGACTGAGAGGGACAGACAGAGGTAGGGCTAGATGTGGAGAGGAGGGCTCACTTGACTAACGGCCCTTCCAAATTCAGTTAAAGTCACCATGTGGAACTTTGGGAGAAATTCTAGGGCAGGGAGAGAAGGTCAGAGCGTAGCCCCTCTTTATTAAGAAGACAGCCAGTGTTTATTTATCTGAACAGGAAACCTAGGAAACAACAGGACAGCAATTTTTAATTTTGTTCTTATGCAAAAATTACACACACACACACACACACACACACACACACACACACACACACATGCGCGCGCACCAACCCACCCACCCACACCCACACACACCCACGCACACACATGCACACACACAACATCTTGTCTGTTTTATTTGGCTCTGGAACAAACCTGATTACCAGGGATTTTAGGGATGGGGAAACTTATTAGAATCACATTCCAAAATAATACATTCAGGGGCTGGAGATGGAGCTCAGGGCTGAGTGCTTGTCTGACACAGCCATGGCTCTACGGTCCCCAGCACCGCAAGACAGAACAAATCCAAAGGGAAGAAAAGAGAGTCCAACCACCAGAATAATAAATTTGTGTGTGGGTTAGCATCCTCTTGGCATTCTTTCAGTGGGGACATCCTCGCTGTCTGAGATGGGGCTGTCCTGGCTTGACTCAAATCTCTGGTGCTGGCAGAGGTTATAGTCCAGAGCTGAGGTAGGCAGGTGACTGGCTGAGCATCCCTTTCACTTTGTGTGCTGTCTGTGCACCACCTGCCCCAGGCTCAAAATCGACTCAGATGAATGTTCAGGGCTGACCAAGGTCTGAAGGCTTGGAAAAATGGAAGTTGGAAAAATACTGCCACTCTTGCCGAAGATCTCTCACTTGGCACTGCCGAGAGGGACTGGATGGGGAGGTCGCAGCTTTGGGCTGTCGTCTGGCCACTGTTTTTTGTTGAGACCGTGAGAAATGGAATAGAGATGCAGTACATCCTTCTGAGGTTTGCCAGAGACTGCATATGCCCTGGTCCCTGGATCCAGTTGGTGGCTCTGGGAAGCAGGAAGCTGGACCTCGGTACAGTCTGGCCAAGGGGGACTCAGGAATGACCCTGAGCTCAGTCATTGCTCAGGGACAAGATTGTTTGTAGTAGGGTCTTGGCTCCAATATCTGGGAACCAGAAAGCTCAGTCCTTTAAGATCAGGAGAGGGAAGGGTGTGCACTCTCCCTGCCCAGGTCCCAACTGTACCACTGTGCACCTGATTTTCTTCTGCACATCTGGATTCTTAAGAGTAACAGCCAGGGGAACACATACCTGATAAGGGGACACAGACAACCACCCCCCGCAGCGCCAGGAACACAATCTTCCAGGATGTCAAACCCCAGTCTTTGCCCACCCCCAGACTGGAATCCCACAGAAGAAAAGAAAAAAACAAAACAGCCCAAGGAACGAACAGTAGAAAGGAATGATGGAGAGCAGAAAAGACCAGCTATGAGCAATGATAAAACCCCCAAGATATTACCGTTACAAAAGAAATTAGACTCAATTGCCCTATTATAAATATACTAAAAATACATATATATATATTTATATGAACAAAAAAATAGTCTACTCTGAGATGTGTGGATGTCCTAGGATATAGATGTTTCTGGAGCCAGAAAAATGGCAACAGAAAACACAGAGGTAACTCTTACTTCCAGGTGTGGCCAGGGCTGGTTTGGGCGGCCCTGGCCTGGTGACATGAAAGCATTTGGGTGTTGTCATATAAACAGTAATAGGTTATGAGATGCCTGAAGCTAGAGTGTTCTATTGTCCTGCTGGGGACCTGGGAAGCCCCATCTTTCTCCTGCCAACTTCTCAGCTACAAACACACAAAGTACGTCTCTGAAGGAGTGTGTTCTAGAAGCTTTTCTGTGCGCCCTCCTTTGAGTTAGTGTAGCCTGTGGTCACTTCACTTCAGACGAGTTGGCAGAGAAATAAGGAAAGGAGAGAGATTTATATATCTATAGCTATCTATCTATCTATCTTTATATCTATAGAGAGAGTGAGACCTGGCTTTAGGGACCCTTGTCTGTGAATTTTAAATATCCCCTTGTTCATGGACTAGGCATTTCAGCCATGACCAGAGTCAGACAAATATGTAATAATTACAAATATCAGCAATACATTACAGTTGTAGAGAAGAGGATGCTGTTGAGTTTTTTTTTTTTTTTCTCTCTCTCTCCTTAGAAAGGCGGATCTTTTCAGGAGAAGGGGAAGAGACGAGGCTGCAGCTATGGAACACAGAAGAGGTGGAAGAGAAGGTGAGACTCAGCTGGAAAGTAAGCTCGGATTCCCAGCAACTGTTGGGGCAAGTGGAGTGCGTTAAGGGTGGCTTCCTCATGACTTTGGTATCTCCTCTCTCCTCGATGACAAAAGTCCTCTTCTCTTTTTCTCTCTCTCCTCTAACGGTGCTGAAGATGGAATCCTGGAGAGAAATCTGTAGCCCAGATCCACTGCTCTGGGGGCATCCAAAGATGAAAAGGTGAAAGAATTGGCTTCTCCTCACCTCTCCCAGGGGTCAGATTTCCCAGTGTGATGGGCAAGCACAGCTGCCTGATGCCTGGCCTTTTCTGATGACGTGATGGGTGCCGGAACTCAGGTTCAGCTGGGTTCTTGATGGTCCTGTTGATTTCATAATCTCCACCATCAGGCCCTGGTGTTATTTGGGTACCTCACTTCCTTTTGCTCTGGTTGGGTCAGGCCAAGGATGAAATGGACCACCAACTTCAGGTGGCCTCTGCTTCCACACCTTGGCTCCCCTCTTCACTACTCAGACCCACCTGCCGTATTCAGCTTCATCTTGGTGAGCCTTATCCAGCTTACCCCACACTTGTAAACACAGGTACCCAGGTCAGGTACATGCGGAATGAAACTGTGTTCCTTTTTAGCAGGTAGAGGGCTGGTAGGAAAAATTTACAGTAGTCTAACTTGAGTCACACGTGGGGAAAAAAGCTATATTCCCACACATACGTAAGTGCAAGAAAAAAAAAAAAGCCAACAAAAGCCAAAACAAAACGGAAAATTTTTACGCATAGTTTACACTGTTTCAATGATTGTTTGTACAGGAACTCTGTCGGACTCTGCCTATTCAGCTGGGAAGGGCATTCTGAATCCGCCATTTGCTCCGTAAAATGCTACTTTAAGGTCAGACAAAGCACAGGAGTGAGGGACAGGCAGGTCCTACGTGACACAAGGCAGAAGGGGCCTTTGGTTACAAGGAAAGTCGCACCAAGTGGTTCTGAAGAAAGAAAGAAATCATTCCTACTCTGTACACCCACCATCGGTTTAACCAACAAATGAAATGCCTTGGTTTGAAGAAGGGGGCGGTAACTTCCTTCTGGCTATATATGGCTATGTTAAGACGTGTTTACTTCCTGATATGTAAAATAGACTATATCATCAGTAGGAGTTTTTACAGATAGCTCTAAAAATATCTGAATCCGAAATCACAACTATTTACTTTTTATCAAAAAAAAAAAAACATTTGTTTGTTTTCCCTGAATTTTCACATTTGTGCTGATGGGTGACGTCTATGGTGATGAGAAACAAAGAGACATGGGAGGTGGTCAGCAGAACGGTCCCACGGTCACGTCAGCAGGCCCCCTGCACCAGGCTGAGCTCAGCAAGGGGGCTCTGGAGGCTCCCTGCTTCCTGCCTCCAGGGTGCTTCTGGTGCAGGTGACATCACGGTCTCGGCCCCTGTGCTGTTTTGAGAAAGCTCTGAGGACGGTGACACAGAGCCAACTTCTCTCTTTTTTTTTTTCTCTTCCTCATTCACACGGCAAATACCAAGTTTCGCCCTCTGGAGGGAGGGGGGACCCTGGTCTCTGGAGAGAATGAGAAGTGTCGTGAACGGTAGAGACGTTTAAGGATGGCGGATGACCGTTTAGCATCCTACCTGGGACAGGTGGCCCGACCTCAGCCGTGGAGACGAGAGGAGGCAGAACGTTGTGACCTACGTGTGCTGATGGATGGATCACGCCATCGAACCACCGGGCAGATCAGCCACACGTTCTACCGAGGACAGGTGATCAGTAGCATGTCACTGCCCCATCAGGAAGACACACACCTGTCACTGTTCTGAGGACAGCGAGGAGGACACTACAGCATTAGGGACGTTATCCACTAACACTATGGTAAGAAAACCACATTACCCCATTGTACCACAGACAGACTGACCAACAACACCGCCGCCATAATGATAGCATCGCGCAGACTGGTGTCACCGAGGAAGGGCCAACAGCACTGTGCCGCTGGGTTACAAGCCGGCAGGACGACGCCAGGCCAACACGCTAGGACAGGAAGACTGACACCAGAAAGTACACCGGAACCTCTAGGGATACACATGGGTACTTATTGCTTTTGGCTGTGCCGTCTGCCTAGATGGCTGCAGGAAGGAGCGTCGGGCTTTCAGGACAGACAGAACACACAATGGCTGGTTGACAAGGAAGAACGGTACAACACCCGACACCCAACTCTTGCCGTGCCCTGCTGAGACGCGAGTGCCTCCTGCACACAAGACTTTAAAGAGAGCCCTGCCTCAAGGGCTGAGGACCCCTCCTGACCCATGAGGGGTGATCCTGAGGGACCGTGAAGGAACCCCAGACTCTGATGTGGTGACAGTAGACCCACCGTGGCCAGAAACGGGCACAAGTAACACCCCAAGTGCAGGGCCAGCATGCGGCCCAAGGGAGATAGTGCTTGTTTTAAAGTGGGAGATCTTGACACTGTCCCTGGCAGAACCTAGATTAGAAAAACATAAAGTGCTTTTTATTAACTTATTATTATTAGCTTGAATACCACAAGAAACAAAGAAAAAAAAAAAAAAAAAAAACTCCTTTCATAGTAGGTGTTCCCTGCAGCAGTATGCAGTCACAAGCCTGCACAGGGCAGTTCAGTGAGGCTTCTTTTTTTTTCCCTTCCTTTTTTCATGTAGAAAATGAAGTTTATTGTTTGTTTTTTTTAATGCTGTTTTTCAGTCACGCACAGTCTCTTTGAATAAGCTATCTCGGTTTGCATATTTGACGCGTTCATATCTTTTGAGCCCAGGCTGGAGCTGTTTGGAACGCTCATCCCTGTGGCAGCCCAGAGACAGTGCCCTGGTTTATCCCCTCGGCTGCGTGCCAGCCGTCGGAAGCCTTCCTCGATCGCCAGGTGGGCAGAAGGACTTGAGTCCAAACTGTCAGCTTACCCTGTCGGTGTCTCGGAATACAGCCCCAGGGACCACGGAATACTGAACCACCGAAGTCCCCTGCTCGTTTAAGGTTGTGCGTTGGGGGTATGGCTGATGGTGCCCAGAATTCCTCACGATCAAGAGTCCCCTGTACCCTTCCAACAGGAGGATCCTGGTTTTTGGGGGTGACTAGGCGACACCCAGTACTACTTGGTCGGCTCACTCTTTCACTAGCAGCCCCTTGCTCCAGCACCCTCCTCCAGCTGAAGCCATGAGAGACGGTGGTGGCTCACTCGAAGGCTGAGAGAGCCTCCAGAGGAGACTAGGAAGTACGTGGCCCAGGCTAGGTCTTAGTGGTGGCTGTCAGCTCCGCTCATGTCATCTCAGGAAGATGCTGTTAGCTGTGGTCCCCGTGGCTGGTCACGTGCCCACGGACCCGGCATGGCTCTCAGGGTCTCTCCTGTCACTGGGATTCTTCAGGGCCTGTGTCTCCAAGTTCAGGCCGAACTCAGCGGCAGGCAAGCCAAACATCCCTCCTCCCCGATTTCTCTTGCAAATCCCTGATTTCTCTGTGGTGGGGAGCTCAGATACTCTGATCCCGGGTGCTCCCGTGTGATCCTCCTCCAGGCAGCATGTGCACGTCCGGGGAGGTGTGGTTCTCCAGCTTGCATTTCTCTTGAGCCCCAGGCCCTTTCCCAGTCAACCCTTCGGAGGAGTAGACACAGTTGGGCCGTAAGAACTTAGGGGAGGTGGGCAGGGGGGAGCTGTCAAAGTGGTTCTTCTCCGTTCTAGCTCCAATGCCGAACTTGGGGCTGGTGCTCCCATGGAGACTCTTGGGAGGACTGGAGTCCACGCTGTAGAGCAGCTGCCCCTCGTCGTCTGTGTCTGTGTCTATGTACTGGTGGACGCCTGCCTCAAAGTTGAACGCTATTGCTGTGTGTTTCTCCGGAGAGCGAGGAGGTGTCCTGGCACTTGCTGTGGTGTAGATGGAGGACTCTGGGCTCAGCACAGGCTTGTCTAGGAGGGAGGCGCACTCCAGCCCTGCGACAGCTGCGGCCGCACCGCCCCTGTTCCTCAGAGAATCATGATACATTCCCAGAGAGGGCAGCAGCGGGCTGGGATCACCCTCCATGAAGTTGACCTTGAGCGCCCGAAGCTTCACGGGGTTGTTGATCTTCATGGAACTCCTGGGGCTCTCAACAAAGAAACCAGAGCGGCTGGCCTCAGGGGTGGGGTTGGTCTCCAGGATTCTCCCACCGCTGGCACCCAGAGGCCCCCGCCAGCCTGCCTCTGGGGCTGTGCTGCCCCCAGCCTTGCTGGAGAGGGACGCCAGAGGACTGTGGGAGAATCTTGTGGCTTCAGGGAAGTCCGTGGCACAGCTGATGAAGCTGTCGATGCTGGACATGCTACGCATGTCAATGACGCCCTCTGTGCGTGTGGGTAGAGGGGCCACGGGGCTGGGCATGCTTCCCATCTCCAGTTCCTCCTTCGGCTTGCTCGGTGGTGCCATCTCCTTGGTGTTGAGGATGGGTTGAGACTGCGCCTTGGCCATCTTATTGTACATGTCTTCCAGTTGCTGGACGTTCAAGTGCTGAGGACTAGAAGAGGATCTGGCCTTCTCTGGGGACCCCTGCTCCTTGGTTTCAAAGGACTTACTTGAGCTGGTTTCGGACAGTGCCCTCTTGGTCCATTTCCACTTGTTGGGAGACAGGTGGCTATCTTGCACTTTATCCTTCTTAGCCAGGTTCTCCCCATTTTTCTCCACCACGATGTCCATCATCTCAATGCTCCGGGCGAAGGCATCCTTCATGTTCATAGACACGATGCTGCCATTCCTCTTGGCCCTCTCCAGAGCCTCTCTCCGCTTGATGGCTTTCTCCTGTCGCTTCTGCTCCTTGTAGAACTCGGAGAAGTTATTGACGATGATGGGGATGGGAAGAGCGATCACCAGGACCCCGGCGATGCAGCAGAGGCCCCCCACGATTTTCCCCAGCAGAGTCTTAGGATAGATGTCCCCATACCCAACGGTCGTCATGGTGATGGTGGCCCACCAGAAAGAGGCGGGGATGCTTTTGAACTTGGTGTCATCCTCATCCTTCTCGGCAAAGAAGACCAGGCTGGAGAAGATCATGATGCCCATGGCAAGGAAGAGGATGAGCAGGCCCAGCTCATTGTAGCTCCTTCGCAGTGTGAAGCCCAGGGACTGCAGGCCGGTGGAGTGTCGGGCCAGCTTCAGGATGCGAAGGATGCGCATGATGCGGAAGATCTGGACCACGCGCCGCACATTCTGGAACTGCAGCACACTCTTGTTGGACTCCGTGAGGAAGATGGTGACATAGTAGGGCAGGATGGCCAGTAAGTCAATGGCATTGAGCGGCCCCTTAAAGAACTTCCATTTCTTGGGTGAGGACAGGAACCTCAGCAAGTACTCCATGGTGAACCATGCGATGCACACCGCCTCCACGTGGGCCAGCTGCGGGTTATCCGTGCTCTGGCCGAATTCGTCCAGGCTTTGCAGCTCAGGCAGCGTGTTGAGTGACAGGGCGATGGTGGAGAGGACGATGAACATGATGGAGATGATGGCCAGGATCTGTGGGGAGAAGAGAAAGGCTCAGTAGGCACCCACAAGAGAAAGCATGGCCTTCACACATGGCCATCACAGCATTCAGTGCATTTTAACATCTCATCAGTTACATCATGGCTGGCCGAGTGAAAAAAGATAATTTCTCTAAACCCATTTGTGACACAGATGTGAAAACTGAGGCTAGAAAATGAAAACAATTTCAAGCTTGTCAGCGAGCAAACCTTCTCTACAAAAACAGAGGAAAAATGTTGGCTGTGGCTGTGCACCTCCAGCCTGGACAAAAATAAAATAACATAAACATAAAAAATAAAAAAAAAAAAGAATGAATGGGTGTGGCTGCCTCTCAATAAAATGTTATTTACAAAAATGTCAGGGGGCTAAGCGTAACTGTGGGTATTGTTCTGAGGTGAGGTGCTGATGTCCAGTGCTGAGCTGGGCAATTTTTGTCTCATGGCTTATTTCATTGTCATTTGTTTTTGCAGACGGGGTTTATTCTTGTTAACCAGGCTAGACTCTCCCTCCTTCCCCTCTCGCCTCTACCTTCCCAGTCCTAGGATTATGGGTGAGACCACCACACAGAGCTCATATATCATTTTTAGATCAACTCTATTAAGTGCTACTCACACCAGGAATCTGGGCTTTATGAGATACCAGCTCCCCGGCCCACACACCAAAGGAGGCGCCCTTAGCTCAGCGGAGGAGAGAGAAAGTTGGCATATGAGGGTCTGGAGAGATGGCTCAGTGGTTAAGAGCACTGGCTGCTCTTGCAGAGGACCTGGATTTGATTGCCAGTGCTTGCAACTGTCTGCAACTCCTTTTTCAGGGGACAAGAGCCCTCTTCCGGGCTCTGCTGGCACTGCACACGTGTGGTACACAGACATACATGCAGGCCAAACACCCAAGAGAGTAACTACAAATCTTAAAACTGTCAGATGAGCCCTAAGGGTCATCTGCTAACAGAAAAAGCACAAGGTCTTTCGGGCCACTTTCCCATGGGTGCAGATGCCCCACATGTGTTTGAAGAAGGGGAGGGCAAATAGGAACTTTTAGGCTCAAGGGCCCAAGCTGCTTTACCAGCTTCACCATTTAGTGCCCTGGGTCAAGAAGAGGGCGCCAGGGCTGGTGAGAGGGCTCAGTGGGAGAAGGTGCAATCACAAGCCTGGCTGGAAAGAAAACTGACACCACAAAGTTGTCCTCTGACCTCCACACAGACACACACTGTGGCTCACAGGCGCACGCGCGTGCGCGCGCGCGCACACACACACACACACACACACACACACACACATGATGATTATAGAAGAGGACTGGCCAAGAGAAGGGGTTCAATGAATATTTGTTGAGATCAATGAATCCAGTTGCAAGTAGATACAAGGAATAGCTTCAGGGTCTTCTTGTAAAAAACATAAATCTATACTGGGTGGTGGTGGTGGAGGTGGAGGCGCACACCTTTAATCTCGGGAGGCAGAGGCAGCTGGATCTCTGTGAGTCTGAGGGCCAGCCAGGTCTACAGAGTAAGTTCCAGGACAGCTAGGGCTACACACACACACACACACACACACACACACACACACACACACACAGTCTTGGAAAAAAAATCCGGTGACATTAATTTCTACTTAATGCATTTCCACGACTTCTCCGTGCAAACCTGAACTCTCAGCCTGTCTGTCACAAGGCCTGCATGTTCTCATTGGCCACCCATCCCCATCCCTCTGCTACTGCCTGGGGCAGGGTGGGGCAGCTCACAGGTTTGTGCTCTTGCCTGTTGCTGACTGGTTTTGGGGTGGACAGGAAACTCAGCCTCAGTCAACTCATCCTAGAGAATCTATGCTCAGAGACCCAGGGAACAAATGGCTTGTGGGAGTTCATCACATGGCAATCCCAAACACTATCGAGCACCTCCCAAACAGTAGGAGATGAGAAGCCGTAAAAGTTCAGAGAGGGAGTCGGGGAGGGGATTCAGTGGGCACAGAGCTGGCCTCGAATGAGGGAGGTTGTGGGCTCCAGCCCCAGCACCGCATGAACCAGATGAAGTTGTGAACACCTGGAATCTCAGCCGTTTCTAACCAACCCTAGAGGTTGGGGCAGGAGTTTGAGGGCACCCTGGCCACATAGTGAATTTGAGGCCAGCCTGGGTTAAATGAGATCCTCTGCTCACAATAAACAAACAAGCAAGCAAGCAAGAACACCAACCTACCAACCAAACCCAAACCAAACAGAAACCACGCCTGTGCAGTCCTTTCCCTCCCTCCAACATGGTCCCTGCTATCCCTGGATACAAGGGGCACTCCACCTTCAGGCCCTGGCTCTGTGCTGCTGTACCATGGGGATTCTGACGCCTCATTCCAGTCGTGTGTGAGCGTATGCACGTGTGTGTGGATGTGTGAGTACAGGCGCACTTGCACGTATGCCCATTGCCGCCCAGAACCTGTCGGTGCCAGGGAAAGGGCTGACCCTCAGCCTTTTTGGGTATCCTGCTCAGGCTCGGGCATCAAACGAGGCAAGCTGAGTGCCTGCAGCTGGCCGAGGACCAGCACAACACCAGCCAATCGAGGAAGCCCATCCCCTCCTCCCATCGCTTGGCTTTCCCACAGCTGCCTGTTTCTCTCAGTCGGACACCAAATTGAGCGTGTTCCCCTGTTACCATAGTACTCTGGGAAAAATTCACTCACCTTCTTCATTGCAGCCACTTTCTACAAAATGACACGCTAACCTGCCCATTTTGCCTATCCAATGACAGATGCGTTAATTCCAAGATAATCATGTCATCACTCTTCATGAGCAGTTGTGCCCGGCTTTGCCATTCCTGGCCTTGAGTGCTGGGCCCCCTCCTTGCCTCAGTGTCCTTGTTTGTACAATGAGGCGGCTACTTAGAGTGCACCTTGCCTTGGGGACACTTAGGTACGTGGCTGCTCCAGCCCACAGGAGGGGTGCAACTGGTATCAGGAGAGGTCAGGGGTATCACCCAGTATCACAATGCACAAGGTGACCCTAGAGACAGAACATTATCCGGGCTAAGGTTGTGAAACTCTGGGGCAGACCTGTGGTAGTTTTGGAGGGGAGACCTGTGTCACCCTTAGCACAGGCTAGGCACACAGTGGGCCTGAACCTGGTTAGTACAAGCACAGGCCTTAGGCTGAAAGCTGCTGGCTCCTGCTCCCATCTCTGCTCCTGCCAGGAATGGATCTTGGGGTCTGTCCCTTTAAGAGCTGGAAGATTCTGTTTCCTCAGAGGCTGGCAGGGAAAGCCTCATTTCTAACCCCAGACAACTCTGAGCAGCCCCACATAGCGAATAGTCCATGTAGGGACTGAGTTATAGATGAAGCTATCCCATACCCGCCTGTGAAGGGTCTGTCACAGGAGGGAGTTATGGATTTGGCTGTGTGAACCCCATGGCTTCTTACCTCAAGGCTGTATCCCCGTGCATCCAGAGACAGGCCCTCCAAGTCCTAATCCTGGATCTTAGGGAAGAGAGAGGGCCATTCAATCATGGGGGTGGGAGCCCAAACTGGCCTTGCTCTCTGTGGGCCTGAAAAGTCCCTGCTTTCCTGGGATTGGAGAATCACTGGGTCAGAGCAGGACTCCAGGCTCCAAACTCAGAGGCAGGAGCCAGCCTGAGATGGGGCAGGGTCTGTGCCCACATTCTCTTCCCATGGCAAGGTCCTAGGCCTTGGAGTCCCCTGAGTATGCCAAACAGGAGAGGAACATAAGAGGGACTTAGGGCTGTTTGGATCAGGTTTTCTTCAATGGCTCCAGCCTAGTGACTGCTCCTATTGTTGCTGTCACCTCCCTGTCCCTTCTTTGCCCTTCCAATAGGGTAGGTAGATAAGGCACCAAATGTCCAAATAGCATAGGGCTCAACTCTGAGAAGACTCAGCAGGGAAAGGAGAGGACGCACCCATCGTCACTCGGCCCACTATGCTCAGCAGAGATGCAAGGACCCTTGGCAAATTACTTAGGGCATTTGGGGCTCCTCAGTCGCTTCTCCTACCTGTATCTAATAACTGTTGTTCCTCAGGGCTGCAGAGAAGCAACAACCAGAAGCCATGATTGGACAAACCAAAGATGGTCCATCCAGGGATCAAAATAGCCCTGAGCAAGCACCTTATGCCACACCCTCAAACAGCTCAGGGAACGCTGTGAAAGAGGCATGAACTGAGAAGGGCTACAAAGCCCTTTCTTTAGGCTCAGTACAGTCGTCATAACCATGACGTCACATCCCCTGCACTGGGCCCACACAGGACCAGTCCTAACTGCCAGTCAGGAAGAGGAAGGGACTCACAGGGGCCTCAGCCTTCGCCTCCGAGTTACCAGTCACCGGTAGATCCTGGGAGAGGGGGATTCGGGGAAAGGGGGATTGTCTTCAGTTGTGTGGCTGCTGCTGAGCCCAGCAAGGTCCAAGCAACAGCTTCAAGGCCACACAGATAGCCTTGTTTAATCTCAGTGAGCCGCAAGGCAAAAAAAAAAAAAAAAAAGCTATGAATGTGAGAGAGGTTTGTGGGGTGGGCGGGGAGGATGAGAGGAAGGTGGGAGATGAGAGGGGTCAGTGTTTAAAGTGAGCAGATGTGGAAATGTTAACAATAATTTACAAAATTAAAAACAACCATTGCATTGTACAGGAGAAGTAAAGCAAGCTTCAACAAAATACGATAGGGAGTCATTTTCTGCAAAGGACATCCGTTGCTTTTAGTCCCCATGACCTCAGGAGTGTCACAGGAGGGAAGGAGCTCCTCTGTTGTTATCTTTCTCAGACAGGGTCTCGTTATGTAGACCAGGTGGGACTCAAACTCAGGATCCTCCTGCCTTGGCCTCCTGGGAGTTGGGGGTCACAGGTGGCTGTGAACCCCCGGCTAGCTAGGGGCTTGCTACTTGCAAATGACGTCCTAGATCCTCTACCGTCACCAGCCACCACTGAACACTAAGTAATGTAGTATCAGTGAGAAAGGGAGGTCTAGGCAGGCAAAGACACACCTAAGCCAGCCAAGGAGCAAAGGTGGGACCTGCCTCCTTCACGGTGCCCCCAGCTCCCAAGTCAGTGCCTGGCAGAGCGGGCGCACAGAGCTGAGGAGGGAATGAACACACCAGCCTCTGCCTTTTGGGGTCACTCAGCGGTGGCTCTGGGATGTGGTTTCAGGCTGCGGGGGCACCCCAAGAAGTGCCCAAGGACGAGGGAAGGGGCTCCTTTTATGGTCCTTCCGCTTCCTGGGATTTAAGGGGGGGGTAGAGAGGGGATTACATCAGGGAGTTTTAATTGGAAGGGTCACAGGAGCAGATCCGATTAAGGGATTGGGAGCAGCCTGAGGGGCTGTCCTCTCCCTGCCTGCTGCAAGGGCTGAGGGGGGAGGCTGGAGTGGCAGGGGATGCTGGTGGGCACATGGGCCTGGGCAAGAGAAGCTGTCACAGGGAGACAGGGGTTCAGGACACTGCCCAGGGGCCACCCATCCAGCCAGAGCCATTTGCCTTAGTTGTTCATGTTTCAAATTGGGAGTTTTTGTTTGAGACAGGGTCTCATTGTGTAGCGTCTGCTGGCCTGACACTCACTACACAGACCAAGATGGCCTGGAATTTGGGATTCTCCTGAGTGTTGGGATGGCAGGCATGCACCACCACATCCGGCTAAATTGGGAGATTTCACATAAAAATCCAGGTTTGCTGGATTCCCTCAGCAAAGCAGAGGCGCTCCACCAATTTATACTTCCAGTGATGGACACTAGGTGGTGGTAAGGAGCAGCCACCCCTTCCCGGAGGCAGGCTCCTAGGGCCTCAGGATCTTTGCCCCTCACCTTAGTTAGGCCTTCATACCCGTGTGCTGTTGCAGTCCTGGGCCATCCTGGTGCCATGACAATGAGAATAGCTATTAACAGACCTGCTACTATGTGTGAAAAAAAAAATGTTTCAGAGATCTGCATAGAATTACAGCCTCTGCCTCTCGGGGTCACTCAGCGGTGGGTGGCTCTGGGATGTGGTTTCAGGCTACAGGGCACCCCAAGAAGTGCTCAAGGATGCAGGAAGGGGCTCCTTTTATGGTCCTTCTGCTTCCTGGGATTTAAGTGTGTGTGTGGGTGTTCTACCATCCTTCCTTATTTTGCCCTTATTCACATCTGGCCAATTCCTGTTCACAGACATTTCCAGACTTGACCTTTCCTCTCCACCACAGGACAGCCATCACCCTGTCCCAAACCATCACGCACTTCATTGGTATAACTGCAAACAGTTGTCTCTCCTGGCCCCTCAAGATCCCTGTAAAGAGCACAAACCCCAGTGTTAGTCTTTTCCTTCTCCCATTGCTGGGCATGGGCCATCTAGGATAAAGGCTCTATCTCCCAGCTTCCCTTGCAGCTATATGTGGTCCTGTGATCAGGTTTGGGCAGCAAAAGGCACCTGAAACTGGTGAAGACCCCTTCTCCTTTCTCTGTCTTGACGGCTGGGAGACAGACTGAGCTTAACCCCAGCACCAGACTGACCTTTTGGGGAGAAGCCCACCAGCTCTTGCTCTGTGTGGTTTGGGATCTCCAGCCACGGGAGCTTGGTCTGTATTCCCAGTGGCATCCGTCCCATCCACCCCAACTGTCCCCAGAGGCACAGGCTTCCCTTCTCTCAGAAATCTTCACAGGGTATTTCGGCAGCATGTTTTCCAGAGATACTTTCCAGTTTGTGGGTATGGACTGAGCCTCAAACGTGAGTCCCTAGGGCCGATGGTAGACCTCAGCAAAGCTGCACAGAACAAAGATGGGCATGGTGGCACACACCTCTCATCCCAGCACTCAGTCTAACGTGGGAGAATTGCTAGTTCCAGGGCAGCCTGGGCTACGCAACAAGACCCCATCTCAATGAATGAATGATGGCCTGGATGTGGCTCAGTGGGTAGAGCGCTGATCTCGCATGCGCAGAGCCCTGGGTTCCACCCCCAGCACCGCAGAAACCAGCTGTGGTGGGGCTCTCATCATCCCAGCGCTTGGGAAGTGAAAAGGAAGGTGAATCACAAGTTCAAAGCCACTAGAAATACAGCTCAGTGGTGGAATGACTGCCTGGCATATTTGAGGTCCTCAGTTCAGTTCCCAGCACCACAAGAAACAACCAACCAAACAAAAGCCCAGCGCTGGGCCAGCAAGATGGCTCACTGAGGAAAAGTGCTGGCTGCAAAGCGTGGCGGTCTGAGTCCTCTCCTGGTGCCCACACGGCTGAAGGAGAGAACACATCCTCACAAGTTGTCCTCTGACCTCCACGTGCACACAGTAGCATGCACGCACGCATGCGCACTGTGGCCCGGACGCATGCACTCACAGTGGCACACACGCATGAACACTGTGACACAATAAAATATCCTTTAGGATATGGAACATAGGTGAGCAGAAGGAAGAGGTTTCCCTGTGGAGGTCAGGGGCTGGGGATCGTCTCCCTCCTGTCTCCCGAGCGACCGAGCGAGAGGGAAGCAGAGGTCAACCCTGGTCTGCCCGGGGAGGGTGGGGAGGAGGTGCTCTGAAGGTTCCTTCCTGAAAGGGAAAGCCAGGGGCTCTGCCCTTCCCGCTGGGTGACTGCCAGTCCCCTAGACCTGCGGAGGACACGGGCCGCCAGGGGGCCGATGGGGCTGTCAGTCAGCACTGACAGATGGCGCAGGCTGTCCCTGCTGTAGAGAATACAGTTAGGAGGGGGTGTGCGGCTGGCTAGGCAGGGTGGAGTC